CGTTCCCCCTGCGTCCCCGGGCTTCCCTCTCCCGCTCCTCCTCCTCGCTCTCCTCGCTCTCTCTCTCCCTCTCCCTCTCCATGGACTGAATGAAGACCGCCTGCACCTCCTATCGATGCCTCACCAAAGAGCTGGAGAGCTGCGCCATGAACCCGGAGCTGAGCATGGAGACGCTGGGGCCCCTCCACGGCCCCCCCAGCCATGAGCCCGAGCTGCTGGGCAGCCCCAGCCCGCACCACCACCCGCCCGGCCGCGGGCCCCCCGTCAGCGCCGCCTCCTCGGCCGCCGCCGGAGCCCTCCGCGTCCACCCCCAGCCGCCGCCGCCGCCGCCGCCTCCGGGCGCCCACCAGGAGCTGTCCTCGGCCTCGTCGCGGTCGGCCCTCGGGGTCAGCTGCACCACGCCATGAGCATGCCCTGCGACTCCTCGCCGCCCGGGATGGGCATGACCAGCACCTACACCACGCTGACCCCGCTCCAGCCCCTGCCGCCCATCTCCACCGTCTCGGACAAGTTCCACCACCCGCACGCCCACCACCACCCGCACCACCCGCACGCCCACCACCACCACCCGCACGCCCACCCGCACGCCCACCACCCGCACCACCAGCGCCTCTCCGGCAACGTCAGCGGCACCTTCACCCTCATGCGCGACGAGCGCGGGCTGCCGGCCATGAACAACCTCTACGGGCCCTACAAGGAGATGCCGCCCATGGGCCAGAGCCTCTCGCCGCTCGGCAACGGCCTGCCGCCCCTCCACAACAGCCAGCAGGGCCTCCACGGCTACGGCCCCGCCGCCGCCGCCGCCCACGACAAGATGCTCGGCCCCAACTTCGACGCCCACGCCGCCATGCTGGCCCGCGGCGAGCAGCACCTCCCGCGCGGCCTGGCCACCCCGCCGGCGCCCATGCTCTCCCACCTCAACGGCATGCACCACCCGGGACACCCGCAGGCCCACGGGCCCGTCCTGGCCGCCGGCCGGGACCGACCGCCCTCCTCCTCCGCCGAGCTGAAGCGCTACAGCATCCCGCAGGCCATCTTCGCCCAGCGGGTCCTGTGCCGCTCTCAGGGGACCCTCTCCGACCTCCTACGGAACCCTAAACCCTGGAGTAAGCTCAAGTCCGGCAGGGAGACCTTCCGCAGGATGTGGAAATGGCTGCAGGAGCCCGAGTTCCAGAGGATGTCGGCCTTAAGGCTCGCCGGTAAGTCTCTCTCTTCCCCCCCTCCCTCCACCACCCCCCCGGACGGGGGACCCACGGAGGCTCGGCTCCCCTTCGGGGGCCGCTTTGGGACTTGGCGGCGCGCTCGGAAAGGCGGAGGGGTCCGACTTGGCGCTCTCGGGGCCACCGCAGACAAGGCAATACCCCGATCGGGGATGCTGGGAGGCGGGGGGGGGGAACGCTCTGCGGGTCAGGGACTGACACTTGCCGGCAGGGATGGTCGGAGGGAAACCCCCTGTCCTGGAGAGGTTTGTGTTGTGTTTGCTATGGGGGGGGGCGCTGATCCCCTCTCAGTCGACTTGCCTCAAGGAGGAGAGGTCTATCCCCCCCTCCCTCCAGTGTGGTTTTAGGACGGGAGCTCAGGTTGGTAGGCGCCTAACTGTCAAGAAAAAAATAAATGGTTCCTTTTGGGTTAGGGTTGAGAGAGGGAAAGA